TCGAAATACGCCAACTCAACATGTACCTTCGGAGACACCTGTAGTACTCCTTTATAATCACCCAATTACGTTGTGACGTTTGGTAGTACCCAAAGTGTTCCTCCGGTAAACGGGAGTTGCATAATCTCATAGTTACAGGAACATGTATAAGTCACGAAGAAAGCAATAGCAACATACTAAACGATCAAGTGCTAGGCTAACGGAATGGGTCATGTCAATCACATTATTCTCCTAATGATGTGATCCCATTAATCAAATGACAACACATGTCTATGGTTAGGAAACATAACCATCTTTGATTAATGAGCTAGTCAAGTAGAGGCATACTAGTGACTATATGTTTGTCTATGTATTCACACATGTATCATGTTTCCGGTTAATACAATTCTAGCATGAATAATAAATATTTATCATGAAATAAGGAAATAAATAATAACTTTATTATTGCCTCTAGGGCATATTTCCTTCACCCCGGCGTTTCGCGTTTTCGGCCAGATGAACCGGAGGTGAAATGTTGCAGGTTTGCTATGCTAGGGACGCGTGGCTGGCGAGTGGGCTACGTATTTGGATTCGTCTCGTCGTTCTGAGCAACTTTCATGTACAAAGTATTTTCATCCGAGTTATAGATTATTTTATATTAATTTCCAAAGTTTTAATTTATTTACTGAAATTCTTTTAATTCGGAAAATGAATTTAATGCGTCAGCCTGACATCATCATGATGTCAGCAGCCAACCCAGTTGACTCGGGTCAAACCTGACAGCTGGGTCCCACATGTCATACACACTAGGCTAACATCGGTTTAAATTAAACTAAATTAACTATATCAGAACCTGGGCCAACCTGTCAGTCACTATTTAGGTTAACTAAACTAGTTTAATCAATTCCTGTTAATTATGGGGTGTAGGCCCCATTGGCCAGTGGCTGGGGTGCCCAGTCAGCAGGGTTGACTGGTCAACCCTGACAACTAAGGTCCCAGGGCCCACGGGTCAGTGACCCAATGGACGGCCACGTGGCGCCAGGTCAACACCGTCGCCAGAGTAACCCCGACGACCACGTTTTGCGGCGGCGCGCGTCGGGAGGTGGTCGGGTTTCAGCTACGGTGGCTTGTTTCGAGCGCGGGAGGTGGCGTTCGAACGAGTGCGGTGAGCCGCATCTAGTGGTGGCGGTGGCATGGTCGGAGGTGGCTGGAAGTGACGGCGGCGAGCACATCGGCGGACGGTCGGAGTCGGGTGTGAGAGCAAACGGTGGTACGGAGCATGGTTTTACGCGCGGTTGGGTGCGTTCGAAAGCAGGGGCTCGGGTGCACCCATTTGTGGCCTCAGCCGACGCTGGGACGGACGGTGTCGCCGACGGCGTCAACCGCGGCGGACGCCGGAGTTCGGTCAAGCTCGGGAACGACGTTGCAAAGGGCAAAACGGTCGGTGTTCGGCACCTATAGCACCTACGCGAGCTCACCAAGCGAATGGAGGCACGCACGGGACCACTGGTCCACCGGAGCCTCGCCGGAGATGAGCGCGTGCGGTGGAGCATTTTGGCCGACGGCGGATCGGTTGCTAGAGCTCGCTATCGATCACGTGGAGGGAGGGGAAGGAGAGTGATGCTCACATGGGGCCTGTAGATGTGCTAAGCGGGCGCGGGGAAGGCTTGATGGCGACGAACGGGCGGCGGCGATCCAAGGTGGCCGAGGAGGAAGATGAAGTCGTCACAGTCACTGCAGGGGCTCCGAGCTCCAAGTCAAGGTCGCATGGGGTGTAGGGTACGGCGACGGAGTGAACATGCATGTCGGACGAGCATGGGGAGGATGGTGGCCGCGAGGGCGACGGTGGCAGAGCGTCGGATGTGTGCGGGGAAAGGGGATCTGGGCGAGAGGGGCGAACTGGGAGGCTTCTAGGGTTAGGGTTGAGCCAGGGGGGTCGGGGACGGCCTTGTAGTCGCGGGGGATGCGGCGGATTGCCGACACGTGGTCGATCCGCGACGTGGTCGGGCACACGGCGACCACCCAACACCTGGTGAGCAGTAGGAAGAAGAAGGAGGTGGGGATGGTGGCCTGGGCCGTTTGGTTTAATGGGCCAAGGTGCCCAGTAGGTTTAGGTCTCTCTTTTTTTGTATCCCTTTTCTGTTTCTTTTATTTCTTTACCATTTTCATTTATAGTTTCCTTTATTTTAGTTTTACAAACTATAAAAGTAGTCCCTAATTTAATGTTAATAAATAGGCTATTGCCACATAAGTTTGGGCAACTAAATAAAATAGTTTAATAGTTTATTTTTTTGTAAAAGGCATTCAACTAATTGTTTTTGCTACCGTTTTAAATTATTTTAGAGTATTTAAACCTTTTCTAAAAGTGTGGTTTCTCCACCATACTTACCTATGCATTATTTGGCTCACCCCAAACATTTTAATTTTAATATTGAGAACTTTTATTGTTGCTTGATTTTGAATTTGAATTTGAATCAGATTCGAACTAACGCGAGATTACCAACAGTAATCGAGGTGACATGGCATCATTAGTAGATGGTTACTGTAGCTTAATCATCCGGGCGTCACACATAGTTACTGTAGTTTGGTGTAGTCTTTGTGGCCGGGACGAACTGGATTCGAACCAGATAGGAGCCCTGCGTTCCCTTCTTTCCAAGCGTCCCTTTGGTTTCACGGTTTCGGAAGAGAGGCAACCTCTATCTCTTTCTCGTAATTTGCGGGTCGGTAGGCCGGCCAACTAACTCTTCAAATGAAGCCCTTTATCTTGATAACGAAAAAGAGAATGATGATGATGGCTACCATTCATTCCTTCTCTTGATTTTCATTTTGTTGTAGTTCGGGTGGGATCTTATCAAGCTCATCCTGAAAACGAAGCTTGCTAAGATCAAATATAACTCTTCTTTGCCCTTCAGTGTCATCCGTCTGATTGACGAAATCAATTAACCCAGCGTCTGTTGAATGAAAGTTCTCCGAGATCTCTCGGATACACTTGTTTTTGACAACATCAGCATCTCCAACATAGGCACACAATTGATCATAGAGCGGGGAAGCGGAATCATTCCTTTTGAAATTCTCGATTTGCTCGTCAATTCGAAAATCCTTCATGGATTCGGCATATTGCCTAATATCTTCCTGATCCTGAGCCGGTCGGTTCAAGTCAATAGTTAAAGGAGGCACACCGCTCCCACCCCTTTGTTGGTTAACACTCTCACTATCACTATCAGATGATAGCATTAGATGAACGTGTGGGGCTTTGTACGTTTCCTGCCCCGAACTGGAAGGAGTTTCAAGCCCCCCCTGTGCCCACGGTCCCACATCGCTCCTGCCCCCAGAGGGCCGGTACCATTTCTTCAATCAGCGTGGCACCATATATCCAAACATATTGGAAAAGTGACAAAATCACTTCAAGTAGTGCTTGCCTAACCTGATCTGTTACGATCAAGGAGGGATCCACTACAAAAGCAGCTATCACAATAATAGCTATGAAAAGTCCCCCCCCCCATTGAAAAAACCAGAATCAGATGATAGATCAAGTCTTACCGAAATTGGATTTCCTTTTTGTGCCATATGTCGCTTAGACTTTCCTTTTCCCCCCTCCGCCCTTTCAAAAGTGGTTACTCTCGATCTGAAGCACCCCTTTTCCATTCATAGAGAGATCCAATCGTCAAAATTGATAAAAAGGCCAGCATGGACCAAGATCCAAACAGAACAATCTTGTTAGGAGGTACTGCCCAAGGAAAAGAAAAGGTGACTTCCTACATCTGCGAGTAAGGGGCAACCTTTTTTTATTAATTAACAGGTAAGGCAAAGTGCTTTCTTTTTAAAAAAGCATCTGGTTCCATCTTTCTTTCGGTTAAGCCACCTTTTTCTAAGAAGGATTTTTGTAATTCTGGATTAATAGTACTTAGAATGGCTTTTTCACATTGAGAAATTTTGTCTAGTGGCATTCGATCACAAAGTCGTTGACAGCAGCATACATCACAACAATTTGTTTTTCAATTGGAAGTGGTTCATATTGTGGTTGTTTGGGCACTTCTGTAAGCCTTGCACCTCTATTGAGTAATGCCTGAGTCGCAGCATCAAGGTCTGACCCAAATTGAGCGAAGGCGGCCACTTCGCGATATTGTGCCAATTCCAGATTTGAACTACCGCAGACTTGTTTCTTAGCTTTGAACTGAGCGGCAGACCCGACGCGACTGACGGATAAGCCAACGTTAATAGCTAGTCTAATTCCACGATAAAAGAGCTCTGTTTCCAAACAGATTTGTCCATCTGTAATGGAGATCACATTGGTGGAGATTTTTCTGTTGATGTTGGCAGTCAGGCCTGCCAATGACATGAATTTCGTATTGCCCAACGAGTGAACGAGGTACATGCGTCGGCGCAAGTCAAGTGCACAAGATGTTACCTTCGATTCAAATTAAATGACGCAGCCTATATACGATGTCAATTTTGCGTTGTACAGAGGCCGCATAGCGCAGAATTAAAGCCAGGCAAGTCATTTTAGAATTAAATTAAAGCCAGGCAAGTCATTTTCAAAACAGAGGAACGGAGAAACCAGGACGCTCCACCTGTACTGTACCACCACAACCACTATTCATGCCATTGTATTCCGGCATATTCCAGAGGCCGCTCGAACCGTACGCTGATTTATTTGGATTCCAAAACCATCATTAATTCCCAAAAGCAAAAACGGAGAAAAGGAGAGCCGGAGATCCGGCCAAAAGCCAAAGAGCGCAACGAGAAGCACGGGCGCGGGGCCGAGAAAAGCGACTCCTGTTGTGTTTCCGACGGCAAAGACAAACCACCACTGGTACAGTGGCACTGCACTACACACTGTCAGTGTGGACTGTGGAGCACACATCTGCGCGTCAGCGAGGCAGCCAGCCCACCACCCCTCATCCTCCCCGCGAGCTCACCAAAACCTCAAACCCCAGCCCAGCTTGGTCGCCCTCCACAGAAAAGAAAGAAAAAAGCAGTGTGGACTGTGGAGAGAGAGAGAGAGAGAGAGAGAGGAAAGAATGGAGGTCCTCGTCTCCACCGCCGCGGCCTCCGCTCCCTTATCCTCGGCCCGCGTCCACCGCCGGCCGCTCCCCGCCTCCGCGGCCTTCCGCGCCCCGGCCCGACGAGGCTGGCGCTGCCGCTCCGCCGCGCCGACCAGGCCCGACCCGGTGCCGTCCGAGGAGCCCGCGTCGGCGTCGGGGTCCGCGACCACCGCCACCGTCGTCACGGACAAGCCCGACGCGCCGGCCGGGGAGGAGAAGAGCGGGGAGGTCTCCGGCGGATTTGTGGAGGTGACGGTGGAAGATGCGCCGGTGTCGTCGCCCGAGGAGGACGGCGGCGTGGACGCCTTACTGGGCAAGGTTTACCCCTCGTTTGCTGCTTTGCTTTTATCTGTTTATATTAGAGAAAAAATAGAGGATAAGCCAAGCTTCAGGGACCATGATAGTTGGCCCAAATTGGGTGGAAATCCTGAGATCCTCCCCACTCCTACGTTTACAAAGATGGACGCTTAGACAAAATTCAGAATTAGCCACCGTATTAATGATTGCAATTATATGCCTCCCTTGGATTGCAATCCTGTGGGATGTGTTAGTGCATCTACTGATGCAGAAAACAATGATGCTTTTGAGCAGGATAAATATTTACGCAGCTTCTATGAGATTGGATTTGGATCAGACGACGTACTAATGTAGCAAGGATAACTGGACCGCCTCATTGAGTCATTAGGAATGTTAATATGAGTGACATGAAAGAGTCAATAGAGTATAACATCCAAAAGAAATGTTGAGCCAACCAGTGAAAAATGCAATTTTCCTGTCTCTCTTATGACAACATGCCTGTTCAAGCTTATCGTAGACCTCAGTGTGGCTTGTTAAAATTGAATGAAGAACAACAAAAGTACAACATGGCTCTGTGAAAATGGCTATGCCGCCAACATGCAAATGTGATTTGAGAATCGCTAAGCTGGGTGGCTAGGATCTAATGCAAGATATGCTGAGATCTAGAGCTCCATTTGCACAAACTGTTATGAAGTTGCACTGTATTAATCAGACGCCACGCAAAATAACTTAATGCTGTTGCTGAAATACATTAACCTCAGTTTTCTACTTTCCAGATTGAACTTGATAAAGACATTATGTACCTTTGTATGTTCCTGAATACATTCTGCAGTCTTGGAACCAGTTGATTGCTATTTGTTGCTCACAGTCACACTTACTTTGGGCTTGCTCATTTCAGTTGGACATCCAAGTGACACCCACTTCTGTCATCCTCGGAGGCGGTGCTCTGATTGCTCTGTTGATTCTATCTAAAATCATTTCTGCAATTGATTCTGTTCCCCTGGTACGTGGCTATGCCATCGCGGGATAGATCTGTGTGTACTCAAAAACTTACTGCTCCACGTATGATAAACCATGCGAATTACCTGTTGCAGCTCCCAAATGTGCTGGAAATCGTAGGAACTGGCTACTCAGTCTGGTTCATCACACGGTACCTCCTCTTTAAGGTATGTTTCCAGTTATATCATCACAGAACCAGTGTCAGTCATGCCTGGCTTAATGATCGGCTTTCACTATGCGCAGGAAAGCAGAGACGAACTGTTTGCGAAATTTGAAGATCTGAAAAACAATATCATTTGAGCAGGGGAAGAGTGATGCTTTAGCATACGTTTAGGCTTCACAGCCAGCTTATTATTTTAGGTCGTCTTCTTTTTTCACCTATTGCTGAAAGAAAGAAACAAGTTGTGTTGTAAGCTGTTTCCTCTCATCAACTGTAATGAGAGATCTGAGTTTTACTAGTGTGCTTTCTCGAGTCTTCCTGATTGTGTTTACTCGACCCAGCGTTCATGATCCTGACTAGAAGCGCCAAAATGTTAAGATGTTGGATGGATTATTTCCAGTAACCTTTTCACACGTTTCTTCTAATTCTTGTTGGCAAGATTTAGAGTCACTCCGAATGATCTACTGTCATGTGGGGCGCTGCGTACAGGCGTGGGTCGCGCGCCCAGGAGCAGCAGCGGACGGCCACGGCTGGAAGGAGTCCTGATCCTGCGTTGGTTCCTAGAGTCTAGGAATAGTTAGTTTCCTAGTTTATTAGAAGCATAGTTAGTTTCCTAGTTTGTTAGAAGCCCATAAGGCCTTTATATATCCTGTGATCGGCACCTTTGGACGTAAGGAATAAAATCATTATCCCCTACCTCTTCCTCTACTCCTAATCCCCTTCTCCTGCGCCATTGAGCAGCTGGGCAAAAACCCTAGCGCTCCTATCAACCGAGACTACAAACTACGTAGTCGAGGTCCTGCTGTCTTGGGTACCGAGGCCCTTGACAACTTGGTATCGGGTTTCAGGCGATCCTCTTCCTCGTCCACGCTCCATCCGCAGCCCGCCTCCACCCCTGCATCCGCGCCAAGCACACCTCCATCGCCACCATCCGCCGTCGCCTCGGTCACTTCCGGCATGGCAGAACCTACCACCGCTGATCTGGCCAAGATGATCGAGGCCTTGACCGCCATGGTGGCGTCCCTGCAGTCGTCCGTCACCGCACTCCAAAAGGACAAGTCCTCCTCCTCGTCGAGCGCTGACGGAGGCCATGATGGGCAGCACCACAATGATCGGCCGCCCCGGTTTCAGAAGATGGACTTCCCCAAGTTCGACGGCAAGTCCGATCCTCTCGCATTCATCAACAGATGCGACTCCTTCTTCCATCAACAACGGATCGCCGAGGAGGAGAAGGTGTGGATGGCGTCATACAATCTCGAGGGTACTGCCCAACTGTGGTATATGCAGGTCCAGCGCGACGAGGGCACACCTCCGTGGCGCCGCTTCACCGAGCTGCTCAATCTCCGCTTCGGGCCACCACTGCGCGCTAACCCGCTGGGCGAACTAATGGCGTGCAAGCGGACGACGTCCGTCATCGACTTCCAGGAGCGGTTTGAGGCGCTCCTTCCCCGGGCAGGCACCTTATCCGAGACACAGAAGGTTCAGATCTTCACCGCGGGACTCCAGCCACCCCTCAGCCTCGACGTGGAAATCCATAACCCGCAGTCCCTCGCCGTCGCCATGAGCCTCGCCCGCAAATTGGAGCTGCGCGACCAGTGCGCGCTCACCTACGCGCCACCAGTGTGTTTTCAGTAGAAGGGCATCCTGCCGGCGCCCGTACCATGCCTCGCGCCCCCCGCACCGGCTCCACCAGCCGCACCCCAGCATGCCCCCAGTCTGCCGAAAGGGCGCCAAATCAAACGCCTGTCACAGGCGGAGATGGAGGAACGCCGTCGCCTCGGCCTCTGCTTCAATTGTAATGAGAAGTTTGGCAGGGGCCACAACCGCATGTGCCAGCGCATCTTTCTCCTCGACCTGGCACCGGACGACGACGACGACGACACGGCCTCCGCCACTGCTGATGCATCACCGGCCGACCCTCAGATCTCGCTCCACGCAATCTCCGGCGTGCGCACAGCGAGACCATGTAGATGCATATCACCCTCGGGGGTGTCTCCCTCCTCGCCCTGATCGACTCAGGCTCCACCCACAACTTCATCGCCGAGGAGGCGGCCGCTCGTGCTACGCTGCCATCCCCCACCACCGAGAAGATGCGCGTCACGGTGGCCAACGGCAAGCGCGTTCCGTGCTAGGGCGCGTACCGCGTCGTGCCCTTCCGCATCGACCAAGAGGCATTCTCGGAGGATTTCCTCGCCTTGCCGCTCGCGGGTTACGACGTCGTCCTGGGCACACAGTGGCTTGCGACGCTCGGACCGATCCTGTGGGATTTCCGCGCCCTCTCCATGACATTCTGGCGGAGGGGCCATCGGGTGTGCTGGCGCGGCATTGCAGGACCGAACGGTCCAGCCCTGAAATCATGCAGCGGCTGCGACTTCCTCGACGCCATCATCACCGAGTTCGACGGTGTAAGGGCATATTTATCCCCAGTATGTTTTGGTGATTGATGACAATGCTTGTGCGGACTAATCGTGTGCGTTTAGTTCTTTCAGAGATTCATCCATTGGCACGAGACGATTTCCTCCCCTCGATGTTGTAATTCAAGACGGTGTAGCTCCTTCGTTTCGTTGTTGGTGGACTAGTTTCGTAGGAGTCACCGTACTATCAAGAGGGGATCCGCTTTGGTAAGACTTGGGTGGAATCACACGTACACATCCGTTCCACACCCGTCGTCTTTCCTTCTGCATCTCTGGAGCTGCCGTTTTCTCCTTGCTACGCGTTGCTCTGCCCTAGCGGTAGTACCGCGACCACAGCGGTAGTACCGCCGAAGCTTCCCAGCGATAGTACCGCTCCAAGCGGTAGTACCGCTCTCCGAGCGGTAGTACCGCTTGGGTCTTTCGGCCGTAGTACCGCTGTGCGTATGGGCTAATTCCGCCTCGATTCTCGAACGAAGTTTTTCGTGTCGGGTTTTGCGGCACTAAGGGAGGTAGTAGGAGCGGTAGTACCGCTCTTCCCTAGCGGTAGTACCGCCCTGGTGTGAGGGCCCTGGGCAGCACGGCAGTACCGCTGGGTTGAAGCGGTAGTACCGCCCGGAGCGGTAGTACCGCTCTTCCCCAGCGGTAGTACCGCCCTGGTGTTAGGGCCCCGGGCAGCGCGACAGTACCGCTGGGTCGAGCGGTAGTACCGCCCGGAGTGGTAGTACCGCCCTTCCCTAGCGGTAGTACCGCTCTGTGCGGGGCTGGTGAGTGGGATAACGGTTGGTTTGTTCCTCCCACTATATAAAGGGGTCTTCTTCCCCAAAGTTAACCTACCTCTTTCCCCCAAAGCTCCATTGTTGCTCCAAGCTCCATTTTCGCCCGATCTCTCTCCCTATCCAATCAAACTTGTTGATTTGCTCGGGATTGGTTGAGAAGGCCCAGATCTACACTTCCACCACGAGAAATTTGATTCCCCCCACTTATCCCTAGCGGATCTTGTTACTCTTGGGTGTTGAGCACCCTAGACGGTTGAGGTCACCTCGAAGCCATACTCCATTGTGTTGAAGCTTCATGGTGTTGTTGGGAGCCTCCAGGTGTTGTGGAGATAGCCCCAATCTTGTTTGTAAAGGTCCGATTGCCGCCTTCAAGGGCTCCAATAGTGTAATCACGGCATCTCGCATTGTGTGAGGGCGTGAGGAGATTACGGTGGCCCTAGTGGCTTCTTGGGGAGCATTGTGCCTCCACACCACTCTAACGGAGACGTACTTCCCCTTAAAAGGAAGGAACTTCGGTAACACATCCTCGTCTCCACCGGCTCCACTCTTGGTTATCTTGTCCCTTTACTTTTGCAAGCTTACTTGAGTTATATCCATTGCTTGCTTGTGTGCTTATTGTCTTTGCATCATATAAGTTGTCCACGTAGTTGCACATCTAGACAACCTATTTCATTGCAAGTTTTAATTTGTTAAAGAAAAGTCTAAAAATTGTTAGTTGCCTATTCACCCCCCCCTCTAGTCAACCATATCGATCCTTTCAATTGGTATCAGAGCCTCGTCTCTTTATTAAGGACTTTGCCGTCCGAAGAGTATGGTTGACACCCATGACGGTGAGGAGGAGCACTCCGGTGTGAATCCCATCTCGTCCACGGCCGAAGGGGGAGCCTCGGTCTCTCGTGAGGAATTCAATGTGGCTTTAGACACATTGAAAACCTCCATGACGGCCGAAGTTAAAAGCATGTTTTCTGATTTCTTAGACGGACTTAAACTATCTACCTCGCCGATGAAAGTGGGTGATCCCACTAACAAGGTGACGGATGCTACCTTCGACAAGGGGGAAGCTAACAGTGAAAAGAGTCCGTCTACTAGTGGTAGAAATGGCACCGACATTTTTGCAAATGTGGAACCCCCAGTGTATAGAGGACCGATCCCCTCTACTCATTTGAATCATGCCGGTCCTCCTCCTAAATATGTGAAAAATGAAGATTTTGATGCTTGGCTTTATCGCTTCAAGCGTCACTTAAAACATGTGAACACTAACCTTTGGAGAATTATTGAAGAAGGTTTCTATCCTCATGATCCAAGCAACTTCACCCCTCGAGAAGAAGTGGACAATCAATTCAATGAAAGTGCTCTCTTCATCATCCAAGATGCAATCCTTCCCGAAGATCTCCCTCATCTTCGACCTCATGCCATGGCTAAAGAAGCATGGAAATGTGTCGAGCGTCTCTATCGAGGAAGTGCTAGCATTCAACACTCCAACTATGAAGTGGTGCAAGATGAAGTCGATGAGTTTGCAATGAAAGAGGATGAAGAACCTCGTGAGCTCTTTCGAAGAGTGACCAAACTCGCGGTCGCACTCCGAGATCATGGGAGCAAGGACACGGATGACAATTGGATCAAGCGCAAGTTCCTCAAGGCCATGATGCCCTACAACAAGGCCATGTCCTCCGTCATTCGCCAAAGACCGGACTTACACTCCATGACCTCTGGTGAAGTGTTGGATGAGTTTGTTGCAATGAGCATCTTGGATAAGACCGCCGATAATGCGGTGCTCCGTTCCCAAAGGGCAAAGAAGCCCAATCTTGCCTTGAAGGCCAAGGTTAGTGTGGAAGAAGAAGCAGATGAGGAAGATGAGGAGAGCAACCCCGAGGACACAAAGTATGATTATCATGAGCACATGGCTCTTGCCTCAAGACAGTTTTGGGGTAAGAAGAATACAAGACCCAA